TGATATTGTGTAACAGGAAGAAAAGGTCTAAAAGAGCAGGGGAATTGTGAGGGGTAGGGGAAGGGAAAAAAGAAAAAGGAAAAAATATGAGAAGAGGAAAAAATATGGAAACAAGGTCTTTGCAAATAGGGAAGGGTGGAGGGAGTGAAGGGAGGGCAAGGGAAGGGGAAAAAAATAAGAACCAAAAGAGACTCATGTAATGGTACAAGATCCCAATGATGAATGTAACAGTATTTTATACTGAAAATGTACCAATAAACTTAATGGAAAAAAAAAAAAAGTAAACGCTTCACATTTTAAAGGATCCTAGAGATTTCAAAAATGAATTCAAGGAAACTTTATTTACCTAATATTAATAAACTGACTAAACACTAGTTCTAAAAATTACATGTCCTTAACAACTTACCTCTCAAGATGAACATAATGTCGGGAAAGAACATTTTTAACCAAAAATACAGTCTTTGTAGTAGTCTCTGGACCCATCAATTTGGAAAAATGTAATTTTGCACGAAGAAAATATCCAACAGGCCATAGCCATTCCTAAAAAAGATCATTTAAAATTAAAAAAAAAAAAAAAAAGCTGTGAATATCTAAAATTACAGTACTTAAAAAAATTTAAACTGAAAAATCAGAGAAGAAAATTCTTACGGGTCCTTGATGATAATTGAAACCTCTAGCAAGATTGTAGTTGTCATTGTCTAAGGCATTGTCATAAATTCCACAGTAAACCATATCACTGCAAAATGATTGGAATTTAAGTTAAGTAAAAGATCAGATTCCATATAGGAAGCATTCAAAAAATTTCAGTAGCAAAAGTAAGAGAAATAATCAAATCATTTTGTCCTCCAACCTATAAAATAAATTCAGCATTAGTACATTGTTTAACTTTAAATTAGTACACAGTGAGTTTATAGGATTTTAATATTGTGTTTAGGAATGATTAACAAATGCTTACTGGTTATTATAAAAAAGTATAAAATATTCTGGTATCTTGGCTTTGAGGAGTTAGTGTGACACTAAATATTGGTTGGTTTAAAGTCAACTATTTCACTAAGTCTCTAATATATGTATAATAATTAAAATATTCATACAATTTTTTATTTTTGGTACCGGGGATTGAACTCCAGACCTTGCGCTTGTGAGGCAGGAAGCGGAACCACTGAGCTAAATCCTTGGCCCTTTTTTGGTTTTTTGAGACAGGGTTTTGCTATGTAGTTCAGGCTAGCTTTGAACTTGCAGTGGTCCTTCTGCCTCAGCCTAATCATGTATTACTTTTATAATCAGATAAGGCACTAGAAAATATTCAGGACATACTAGTTTCATAAAGTTAAAAACTTTAATCGATTACTAAATATAGGCAAACCAGAGGCATTTGGAACACTGATACTTAATGAAGATAAAGATGTTTAAATGCAACAAGAGATATTATTTGTAAACAAAAATTAATGGCTGATGTCAATGGACTTGGATTAAATATAATATCAATAATATTCTTATACTATATTCCAACTTACTCTGGATCTAAGGTTTTCATGCCTAGGGGACCCAGCAATTTTTTTTCTGCAATCTCCAAAGCTTTCCATGCTTTTTCTGCAGTAAAGAGCTCAGGTGCCTAATAAATGTCAAAAACAAATATACAAACTTTTAAAAATCATGGAAGAATTAATTCCCATCCACACAAATTAATCACAAACTTGGAAAACAATGAAAATTATCTAAAAAACACAACATGGGCCAGAATTTGAGAGCAAATGCCTAATGAAATCTAAATGTATAAGGCTGACTTGAAAGCACTCTTCCTAGTCTTAGAAGTTGAGAAAGCATGTAAAGGTGTTTTATTTCCTTATGTCATTTAAAGTCATATAACAGATCTAAAAAAAAAAATACTGCCATGGCTATAATGAAGGTAGAACTCACTTAAAACATTTAATTCATTCTTTAGAAGATTTATAAGTATTTTAGGTATATCTGAGACTGTTTTTCTGTTTTTTTTTTTTCTTTTTTCTTTTGGGGCCATAATCAAATACTACAGACCTGCATTTCAATAGCATGAATAGTTACTTATGGAGGAGAGGAGTTGGCATTCATTTTAATGGTTCACCAAAAGTCTGCATTAATTTAATTAAATTAATTAATTTATTTTGGGTACCAGGAATCGAACTCAGGACTTTGTGCTTGCCAGGCAAGTGCAGTGCCACTGAGCTACATCCCCAGCTCCAGTCTGCATTAATTTTTTTTTTTTGGTACCAGGGATCGAACTCAGGTCCTTGCGTTTGTCGGGCAGGTGGAGGAACCACTGAGCTAAATCCCCAGCCCTAGTCTGCATTAATTTTAATGGTTAAATGAAATCAAAGGCACACTGAGCCAAAGTTACTTTCATGTGCCTTTGGGTTTTCCATTGTACTATGATTTATAACACTATTTTTAGTAATTTTTTTTTTTTGGTGCTAGGGATCAATCCCAGGGCATTGTAACATGCCAGGCAAACAAGCTCTCTACCACTAGGCTATTTTCCCACATGTTTAGTAATCTTTTGACAAAGTGGAAACAGCTAGACAGGCATGGACTAATACAAATGTTTATTTTACTGCTTTTATAGTTTATTGTTAGGCTAAGTGGAGACTTAAAAAGGAGAATTTAGAATTCTTGGCTGGACGAACTAATTAGAGCAATACAACAAAGAACACAAAAGTGAATTTAAGCTACTCATAGTTCACTAGTTTATAGAGCTTTCCACTTCATCTCTCAAGGCACTAGTTGTATGCAGCACAGGCGTCTGGAGATACAGTTGCCCTCAGCTTTCTGGGCAGCTGGGGTGGTAGTGGCTAACTGCAGTAATGAGATCTGGCACAAGCAATCTAATTCAGTTGGTCCAGCATGCTGTATAAATGTCATTTTCTACATATACTATAATGTGAAAAAACATCAGGAAGCACTTCATTAATCATCATTCATTTTCTATTTCTTGATACTGAATGGTACTGGTTAAAGATGATATGTATACCTTATTAGAGAAGACTATATAAAATTCGTATGCAATATCTCTTTATAGTTAGATGAATTTGAAAAAAATAGGTAAAATTTTATGGACTTTGAAAGTAACAAATCTCTTACCACAACCATTGCTATGGTAAAGTTAGGCCTGAGCTGGTAGTCACACCAAGGACTTGAAGCTCCGTAACTATCTTTGTATATGCCCCGTTTGTGAACTAAATTCGGATGCTTCTCATTTGGATCTGAAGGGTCTTCTGAAACATGAAACAGCTTTTCAAAATTGTCTTGTATTTTCCTGTTCCATTCATCATATGAGACTGCTACAACCTTCCCTGAAAAATGATAAAAGAGATGGCAATTTAGACATTCAAAGCAATTTAAACATTTAGTTATAGCTAAAGGCATATTTAGTTTACTTATTTTTATCTACTAAATACATTTTCCACTTTTTGAAAATGTGGCTAGTCTGAATTGGGATTGCTAAAAGTGAAAAATATTCACTGGATTTTGAAGACGTAGTACCTCCCTCATGGAATGTAAATGAATCCAGAATAATTTTTTTCTTTTTGGTACTGGGGATTGAACTCAGGACCTTGTATTTGTGAGACAGCCACAGTGCCACTGAGCTAAATCCCTGGCTCTTCAGAATAATTTTATATTGCTTACATGTTTAACAATATTTTGTATTGTTCAATAAAATACTGATTTAAATAAAATGTCTTATAATTAATTTCACCTGTTTCTTTTTACTTTTTTCAAATGTGAGTGCTAGAAAATTTAAAATTATGTATGAAGCGCAAATATTTCCATTGGACAATACTCTTCTAGAAAAAGATCTAAAAATTTAAAAATTATTCGTGGAAAAAACTGGGCATGGTGGTACACACCTGTAATCCTAGCACTCAGGAGGCTGAGGCAGGAGGACTGCTGTGAGTTCACAGCCAGCCTGAGCTACAAAGGGAATCTTATCTAAAAGAAAAAAATCATAGAAACTCAACTTACAGTAATACTGAGGAAAAACGAGCACAATAAGGTTATAACTATGGCATTTTTATCTCAGTTTAAATATAAAAATATGGTTAGTAACCAGGTCTGTTACCATTTCTATGCTAGTAAATTATTTTTCTTTTCCTCTTAAAATTTAAAGTTTTCTAATATTAGTTGACACAATCATATGCTGATTACATAGGTTAAGAATACAGAGAGTACATTAGAAATTTCTTTGTAAACAACCAAACAAATAGCTTACCATGCCTTTTTATTCTAACTTCATGATAAGGGAAAATATGTTTTTTTGATAATTCCAGCAACCAGCGAACAGCAGATTTACAAAGGCCTACAATTTCCACAGCAGACCCATCTCTAAAATTAAAAATAAATTTTATTTTATGAACTGGACTCATTTAAGCATTATTTAAAAAGTCATTCTGATTGGGCTTGGTGGTGCCTGTAATCCCAGAAGCTCAGGTGGCTGAGGGAGGAAGAGCACAAATTGGATGCCAGCCTAGCTAGGCAACTTAGGGAGGGAGACCTTATCTTAAAATGAAGGGGTATAGCTCAGTGCAAAGGCCCTGGGTTAAATTCCTAGTACCACATACACACACAAACAAAAGGGCACTGAATAATGAATATTATAACATGAATTGTACAAACAACTACCACCAGAAAATCTTTAACTTGTAAGGAATACGCAGTATACCTTATAAGCAATCTCATTTATTACTGTTTTGCTACTGTTTATTTTCCTAACATTTTTAGAAGCTCATTTTTAAGGAAAATAAAAATACAAAATCTAAACAGGTTTTTAGAAGAATTTTCAAAGTATATAAATACAGCAACTTTTTTTGTTTTGATGTTCTATGGATCAATCCCAAGGCCTCACACATGTTAGATAAGTGCTGTTCCACTGAGCTACACTCCAAGTCTTATAGCAACTATTAACTGGTTTTTGAATAACTCTAAGTGAAGATACAATTTTGAATAGGAAAATAGCTTCTTAGATTAATATAGCATCAGAAGGTATTTGCTGATAGCTTCTGAAATTATAAAAAGAAAAACTCCTAAATGACAAATTCTGGGATAAATGATAAAAATTAGGGAGAAAAAGTTCAAGAAAAGATTTTGCAAAAAACAGAACAACAGTTTACAAAAGACAGGCATAATGAAATGTTTACACTGAAATGAATTCAGTGTAAGAACATGTCTTAATCATTGGGATGAGGAATCATACAACTCTCCTTTGAGGGGCTTGGAGAGACTCAAACCACGAGAACTTCCAGAAGAGAACAGACAGCTTTGCTTGATGATTGATACCAAGAGGAATATGTGTTTTTTTTGTTTTTTTTTGTTTTTGGTACCAGAGATCGACTCGGGACCTTGCAGTTGTGAGGCAGGCAGTAAAACCATTGAGCTAAATCCCCAGCCCAGGAATGTGTGTTTTTACAAAGGGAAGTGGAGGGAATAAATGGAAAAGGAAGTGGAAGAGAAGGAGAAAAGCAGATTATGATTGATTTAATATAAAGAATTCATGGTTAATAGAGTAAAAGATTCCACAGGTATGAGTTTTCTTTAACATGAATGTGATAAATTTAAAGGGTATAATTAAACTATTAAACTACCTTGGAGTGGCTGGAATTCCTCTGTTTCTAGCTCTATCACTTTCTCCCATTTTATCCATCCATGTGCCACAATTGAAGCGATTTCCGCCATAAACAAACCCTGTTTCTTCATCAATCCCTGCAGTTATATTAAAACCTAAAAAAGTAAAATAAAACATTTATAAAATAAAATGTTTTATAACATATATAGTATATAAAAGTAAATATTTCATTTAAAACATTTACAGAAGTGTAAAAGGACATAATAAACCAGGACAACTACTCTGAAGATCAATTTGGTAATAATACTGTATGAGTTGAAGATGTGTATATTCAACCATATACTAATTTCATTTATCTTTACATAAACTCTAAAGAAACTCTTACCTATGTCCACATGGAGATGTGTATAAGAATATTCATTGTAACACTGTTTATATTAGGAAAAAATAATAGCTCAGTAGAGTAGTGAATGAACATTGCTGTCTATACACTGGGAAACTCATATAATATACAACTCTCACATGGATTTGCATGTGTCAAAATCGATGCACTACCAAGACAAAATGATTCAACAAGTTGTAAAAGGATATGTATAATAAGAAATCTTTTATTTTTATTTTTTATTAAAAAAACTTTTTTTTGGTACCAGGGATTGAACTCGGGACCTTGCACTTGCAAGGCAGGCAGCAGGACCACTGAGCTAAATCCTTGGCCCTATTTAACTATGCCTGCCTTTATGGCTATGTCTAATATGTATTTATGTAGATTAAAAATATATATACAATAGTTTATGCACAATATATATTATGCAGTAGTACACGGAGTAAATACTACATAATATACTACATGTAATTTTTATACACTAAAACGCTTATGCACATAAAGTATAAAAACAACATGCAAATAGTAAGCCTGGCCAGGTGTGGTGGTGGACACCTGTAATCCCAGTACTTGGGAGGCTGAGGCAGGAGGATGACCATGAGTTTGAGGCCAGCCTGGACTACACAGTGAGTTCAAGTCCATCCTGAAATACATAGTAAGACCCTGTCCCCTCACCCCCTAAAGAGTAAGCCTTATTATACGATAGTCATTAATTCTAGAAAAGGAAAAAAAAAATGAAGCTTTTGATAAATTTTATATAGTCTTTTTCAAACTAAAATGAAAATATGTGAAGAAAACATAGTCAAATATTAATACCTGTTTAATTTCAGTACTAGGCTCAAAAGTAAAATTTATATTACATCCTATAAGTTGAAATATTTCAGTTAAAAAATTAAAATAATTCAGAGATGTCACAAAAAGTTTTTAAATATAAAATCTATTTCTATTGACTTCTTTTAGTGAGAATAACATGTATCAGTGATTGCTGCCAGATAACTTGGGTTAATATATGTATGTTACAACCATAAATAATAAATTAACAACTTTTGATTACTACATGAAATATAATTTAGAACATACAAGCAAGAATTTCACAAGTCTACATTAATATTTGCCAATGAGATCATGAGTTACCTACAATGGCTTGAATAGATCACTTCAAAAAAACTTACTACTTTGTGTATTAAAATGTCATTACAGGGCTGGGGATTTAGCTCAGTGGTTTCACTGCCTGCCTTGCAAGCACAAGGTCCTGAGTTTGATCCCTGGTATCCCCCCCCCAAAAAAAGTCATTATACTAATAAAAAGAGCATAAAAAGTCCACAATCCTATTACAAGAAATAGCTTACACACTTCCTTATAGTCTTTCACACAGTAATATTTCCATAAATATTATTTATATATTATTTTATTTTGTGTATTTGATACACACAGTATTTATAGTCATATGCATAATTTGTAGTCACTACAGAAGTTTTTCATTCTGGTCAATATTAAACACTTCCTGCTAGATGTAAGGGTTGTTCTCTTATGTAGTTATAAGCAATCTTATGATCAACATTTTTTTGTAGTATGAATTTTGTGGATTTTAGATTATTTTTTACGTTAGATACACACAAGTGGAATAAATTCATAAACAAAAATATAAATATTTTATAAGTCACAAAACATTTCTAAAACTGCTTTCAAAATGGAATGAATTAGCTGGGTACAGTATTCAATGCCTATAATCCCAACTCCTTAACAGCTGTGGTAGGAGGATCCCAACTTCAAAGCCAGTCTAGACAGCTTAAATTTTGTTTTTGAGACAGGATCTCTCTGTGTAGTCCAGGCTGGTCTTGAACTTCCAGCAATCCTCTAGCCTCAGACTCCTGAGTGATCAGATTACAGGCATGCACCACCACACCTGCCAGTCTAGACCATTTAGAGAGATCCTGTCTGAAAATAAAAAAGGGACAGGGATGAAGCTCAGTGGCAGAGCACTTGCCTAATACAAGGTCCTTGGTTCAACCCCACTACTGCAAAATAACCTAAAAACTAAAAAACAAAAACCACACACAAAGGCCCGAATCAATTTCTAATGCCAACACAATATATGAATACCTCTCAAAACTAAAGCTGTTACAACTACAGAAAACAATCTAAAAATTCATTTGGAACCAGAAGAGACCTAGAATAGGAAAAGAAATTCTAGGCAACAAAGACAAGGTAGGGGGTATCACAATCCCCAACTTGAAACTATACTACAAAGCTACTGTGATAAAAACAGCATGGTACTGGAAAAGACACAGACCCAAGGATCAATGGAACAGATTATAAGATTCAGAAACAATTCCAGACACACTCAATTTTAATATATGTGCTGCTGAAGAGAGCACAACCCCAGACATACTCAGCTACCTCATCTTTGATAATGGAGCCAAACATCCTCAGTGGAGGAAAGATAGCCTCTTTAATAAATGGTACTGGGCCGCCATCCCAAGCTCCTAGGGCAGAGAAGCTGAGCCAGTCCCAGCACCCAGAAGGAAGCTCCCCCACCACCATCCCAAGTTCCTAGGGCAGAGAAGGTGAGCCAGTCCCAGCACCCGGAAGGAAGCTCCTCTGCCACCATCCCAAGCTCCTAGGGCAGAGAAGCTGAGCCAGTCCCTGAACCCGGAAGGAAGCTCCCCCGCCGCCATCCCAAGCTCCTAGGTCAGAGAAGGTGAGCTGTGTGGGCACCAGAAGTACCTCCCTCCCCCCGTGGAAATAAACAAGTCTCAAAAACAGACTTCCGGATTACCTACAGCAATCCCAAAGGGAAATGAGACGGAACACTCTGATACTCAACCACCTGGACACTCTGAACTGGCAACAAAAGAGAATCTGGGAAAAATGAAATCAGAAATAATTTCTCAGATAACAGCAAAGATTTTGCTCATGGTGCAAGACATGATTAATAAATCTAGAGAGGACACA